ACGTCTTAGAGGTGACCTTCTAATGGCTTACAGTATCCTAAACACTTCTGGACAATGTCTGAAACACCTACTTAAGCTTAGTCCCAACACTAACCTAAAGCGTAACACCCAGAAACTAGAGACACAACACAGCAAGACGAACTGTAGACGCAACATCTACTCCTTAAGAGTTGTCAAATGCTGGAATTACCTGCCGGCCGAGCTAGCCAAAGCGACTTCACAGGAGTCATTCGAGAGGCAACTGGATATATTCTTAATGATTAAGGATAGTATCATACTATGATCTACCAAGTTCTTTTTCCTCTTTTATTGTTAACATACCTAGGTTCCTGCCTGGAGGTTTTGGTGATCATGTAGAACTATGGTCTACTATGATATTAGTACTGCTCTAATAATAGATCTAATCCTAAATTTGTAGATTTGTCATGATATAACTGCCTAATATATAAGATCTTACGTGGAAGTCGCACCATCGACTACACCAACTCACTGTACCGTATCAATTACCAATACATTATGTAGAACAAGGTTGGGCTAGAGAAAGAACAATATATTTAATATGAATAGAAGATATAAGGTAACATTCAGTAGAGACCACGCCTGTATGGCTGAGCCATGCCACTCGATCAACTCCAGTCCATTCAATTCATTGTTTGCGCATTCTCCATTATTAGGTATTTCTCCGTGTTAAATATTGAATATCTATTTTCTGAGTAGTCTTGTGTTCACAGCTTTGTGGATTGTGTGGCTATTGTCGAATGTCACTACAATCCCGTGCTACTAGACACGGAAGCCTGTTAAGCGAAAGCTTCTATTCGGTCCACAACCATTTAAACACATGAACTAGGTGCTGAGAGGCTCGCTTATCACAGGTTTCCTGCAACGATTAGGTAGATAAAACAAAGTAGCATTAGAATCAAAAATTTATTCAAGAACTTTCATTAAGAATCGAATATCAAACAAAGGTTTAAACGAAGTTCCCGTTTAAAAGTTGTATTGGTAATGTTAAGCTGAAGTCTTTGTTGATTTTTTCCAAACGAAAGGGTAAAAGAAGTAACTCAAAAAGTACTGGAAGTGGTTATGAGACTAAAATGGAAGTCCAGCATCCTTTTTGTAATCTGCTGTTGGTTGGGTCTCCCGTAAACAGTTCCTTAGGGACATAGTTCTAAGGGCGAAACAGTTCTTAGTATCTGTGAAGGTTCACTCCTGTTGCATTCCAAATAAAAAATAGTGATGAATTCATTCAGAAATGTGGAATAGATAAATAACCAAATTACATGTTTCTTAGCAAAGAATTAATGCAGTTGTGATTCACCTTGAGTTCATGAGTATTAGATAAGGTCAGCTACTATTACTTGTGCAAAGCATAACACGGGCTTAGTACCGTATTGCAATGCTGTTATTACTTTGCTCCCATTTAAGTATTCCCATGCATCTGCGTCTAGTTTAAAAGGAAAACACACAGACAGAGTTAGTGTCTGATAAACTAAAAGTCCCAGTTGTCAGAAAGATTCTTAAGATTTGTCCACAGCCAGCTGCATTTAATTGAGACACAGAACACTCATCTTCTAAGACTGTATACTGCTGTTTTGCGGGCAACTAAAAGCTCAGACACTTAGCTATCTTGCTACCGATGTTATTGCTGGGGAAATCGTTTAATGACAGTGATCATGAAATATGGTCAGTGATAGGTGTATAGTTTAGAAATAAACACCAAACATACTTATCGCTATCTTATAATGTATGACAGCAACAGCATCAAAGGTACGTTTTTTCCTATTTTTAATCAAACTGATCTTGATCAGTACACTCATCAGAAACAGGCAACTGTACTTACTAAACTGATCTGTTTCGTTACAGGCTTCAAGCACTATATTTAAGTATACTATAATTCTTTCAACTAAAATGAATTATACGACAACCAAGAATACTAAACTAAACAAGTGTCATAAATATTGTTTCATTTGCACAGACATGTTTCTTAAAGTAGATAAATGGACATAATTCAGCCGATAAAACCAAAACACGAAATATAGGCCAGTTGAACTTACCTAACAGAAGACAAAAAATGTATATATTGCTTTTCGACTGAAGACAACAGTCAGTTGTTCATAGAAACATAGTTTACAGTACAACAAACCTTTCTTCAGTAACATTATGCACTGACAGTCTATCTGGAAACAATCAACTATGCGAATAAACTCACTATGACTTGGGATAACATCCCTGCGTGCAATGGACGTACAGTGTAACGCAGTCAGACGTGGCGATTAAAAATTAAAAACAGAGCAAAATTAACAACATAATCTAGTTATTTAATTAAAAATACATCATGAAATGACAAAATCTGTGGTTACTTGAACGCATAGATGAACCTGGGCAAGACATTAAGTTTAAATGATCGCTTTGCGGATAAATTCACTTTACATACACACAGTACTCAATCTTTTATTACTAAGTTACAGCTTGATCTGCAGTCTGAATGATCATCTCGTCTGGTCAGCAACGACGTGCTTTCGATGAGGTGAAACCAGTGAGACCATAAATTGAGTAAATCAAAAATTTCCACGATTTAGTGAAAATAATGATAGCATGCGTAACAGTATATCGCTAAATAGATCGCCCAAATCAATAGCTCTGCAAGTCTTCGACATTCACTGCTAATCGTATTAGTTTTAATGGACTCACCTAGCCGAAGGCTCCGGGCCACGCATTCGCACCAGATCACTAGTGAGTACGCCATGCTTCACATTTCCTACGACCGCTGGCCAACTTATAATTGTCACTTCTCTATCTCGATATTCTATCAAAATTTACTTCAAAACTTCGCTTCGGACTTTTGATTTGTTTGGGTTAATACAATTCGATTATAAATGGTGTTACTGGTTATGGCGTTATGAAACTCCAAATACTGGTGGCATCTTTAAATATAAATGATCAGTTGAATACTTCGACTTCTTACTGAATCTACCGATAATAATTTTGTTGAAGAAACGAAATTGAGTTAGATCTTCAACGGTCGCACTGTACACTTTGTGTGTGGAATGTTATTTTAGGGAACAAATAAGAGGATTTGTCTATTGTATATACATCGCTATATTATTTGAGTATGCCTGAGAATTCACATAATCGTCATACATTACTGGTGAGGTACTACTGTCTCTCCATAATGCTAACTTATTTCTTCTTCTTTTTTCCTTTGTCTTACGTACGATCATAGATTGTTAAACACGTTTTTCTTTGTACAAACTTCCAGATTTGCGGATGGCCGAAGCACAGTTATTTAGAGCTTCACGATATCGATGTTTTGTCTCTTCAGTATCTAGTGATCTAAAACTCTTCAACATTGTGTTCCGTACTGTCTATAAGCTGAGTCAATCGAATTTCTGTGACTGCGGCTACATCCAATTTGGTAGAGTCTATCTGTACAACTAGCTTGAATTGTTTGTTGAGCGAACTCTGGAGCCCATGTGAATCACTACGTGCTGCACTCAGAGTGGCTTGGGCATGTTTCTCTGTCGGCGACTCACAATCCGAAAATTTACACTTTTTTGGTCCTTGTCACTAGAGTCTGAACTTAGCTCTGGTTCTTTCGCAGCATCTCGTTCGTTTATACGGCCTCTGAACGGCAAATATTTACGAACAAAACCTTTTGACCATTTTAGTTTATTTCGATTTTGTAGTGATAAATCCCTTATATTGGGAGATTGAAATTCTACTTTTAGCAACCCGGCCATTTACTCCATAAATCTTTAGCGAAACGACTTCAGAGATCTCCCGAGCCATTAGGTGATTTTGTAGCTCTTTTATCAACTCAATATCATGCTTAAAACGAGCTTTGGGTTCTGAAAAATTTTTTTACTCTATGAAAGACAGATAATCTGTCACTATGATCAGTCCTTAATAACTCAACTACTTTTTATTGGATTAGCTTTTCGTTAGCAACACTAGACCGTTTCTCATTCTTGATTTGCACCCATTCATCAACTTTCATTTGGAACAACAATCACAGTGGCATTACACACATGATGTGATCCTGGCTGATTGTCGATTGTTGTTGTTTTTCCTGATAGGAACGGGCCTGGTTTTCTAGGGGTTTCCTACTCACCGACATTTGAAGGGCGAAGAAACTTCCGTCGTGAGATTTTATTTCTAACAGACCTCTTCATGTGCTGTTCATTATTTTTTGGCCTACGTAAGTCAGTCGCCTCCGAGTATACTTGAGGTGCCTTCGCGTTAGTTTGTAAATCGATCGACTAGGTCCCATTCGGTGTGTCTCGATTGCGTTTACTGATATTGCTTTTAGCAAAATTCACCACTGCAGTGGCTTTGGATAGTATGGTGTTTGTATCTGAGCAGCATTGCTGACAGTACCATACGCATCTGTTTTCCTTGAACTCTTTCAAAGCTTCAGGTGTAACGTTGATACAAACTTCATAGTATCTTCCTTTCTCTCATCGCACTGCATGCTCTTTTCCATAGGCTATAGACGGTCTGAGTGTTGGCAATTGTATATATTGCACTTTCCAGTCATCAGTCAAAGGTTTAAAAAAACTGGGCATGAATGATACACAAAGACGAAGGACACTGATCACAAAAATGTGCAAAACCGTGAACTGTCAGATCCGAGAGTGCAAACAAATATTTGAAAAACTAATGTTCTCAAAAAGTGCAGATGAAAAATCACTCGAAAAAAACGATACTTCTGGGCAATTACTTTGACTGAAATAAATCCAGACAAAGCGAAAAATAGTAATGATGAGTAATTAATGATCAATACAATAAAAATAACTCAGAGAGGAAAATACCACGGTGCTTTTTAATTAGCACTCTGCACAACGGTTGAAAATGATAAAATTATAACTGCTTCATCGAACGAAAATAATTCATATCATATCATCATATATGTTCGCTAAAATTTTGATGCAATTTCTTTCTTCTTTTGCAGCATGAAAAAAGGGTGACTGTTTAAATGCCTTAAATGTGTTAACTTGTAGGTCAAACTAGGTATGACTGTTTTAAATTGACTGTACCTATAGATTTTTCGATATATCTATTGATACAATATATGAGTGATAAATTACTCCATCTCGAAGAATCATTGCGTAATAATACTTCTGTATCCATCAATGATGGTAATACTAGTAATGGTGACTCTCGTTTAAATCAAAATTCCCACTATTCGTCACGGAATTATTCTAACGATCATGGTTCAGAATCTGCATTGTTGGAGGATTGTGACCGGGATTTCGTTACTAAACCAGTAGTAACAAGACCAACACTAGGTGACAAGCGTAACAGTACTGCGACTGGAAGTAGTAGCAGCGGCATTGGTACAATGCCAGGGGGGAATAATCGCACTGGATCCAACATCATAGCTTTAAGTGGCTACGAGAAAGACAAATTTTCACTAACTTCTCGTGAAAGCGAGAAACAACTAAAAATGCCCGTTGTTACTCAAGGTACTGCATTTTCAAATTGTAGTCTTTTAATTTTCTTGACGGATTAAATAGTTTTTTTGACCTCGTATATGGTTTATGCCAGTTCAGATTTTCGAGTCTTTACTTCCTTGTAACATGATTGATGTTAAAATCCTGAATATTTTATAAGTTAAATTAATATATGCAGTCGGAACATAAAATTGAAAAACGAAATTCGCTTACAAGATGAGCGTGCTAACGTTCATAATTTATGTAATGCACTTGCAGTAATGACCACGCCTTTCCTTACAGAAGTATGAATTAGTCTTACATAACCACGTCCTTGGCTTTTTTTATACTTTTCAAAATATTAGCAACGAGCAGACGAATATCACACATTGAATAAACCTCACAAAATAACCGCTTACCTAAGACATTTGTACCCTTACAAAGTTGAATTATTCATTTTCCGTTTTCTCTATTTGCCTAGGAATAAGTCTGTCCATCAGTTCAAAACTTCTCAGACTTAGTTACCAGAATCTGAAAGTCATTATATACTCATCCCTCCGGTTATTTTGTAAAATTTAAATACTAGGATAATATTTCCTCAAGTGTTTGCATTGTTACTAATTTTTTTAAACATACGTTGGTCCTTATTTATTAAGTTGTTGCGAATTATATTGTTCTAAGTTGGCGTCACATTCTCGAAGTGGTTAGGTAATGACAACCAAAATTGACTATTATATTACATTAACATACATACACATACATGATGAGTTGTTTCGACTCCTGACACCTTTTAGTACCTAATGTTCAGGAAGCATCTTGTTTTTTCATGGGCATCTAATGTTCAAGAAATTCAGTAATGTTTGAAATAAAGTTCATCAGACACCTAAAGAGACTGTTTATTAAAAGCATAAAAAAATATTGAGTAGTTAGATGAAGTTAACCGTTTTAATTCGACAATTTAATGATTGTGTGGAAATTATTGAAAAATCTGAATGGATCTTTTGATGACAGTTGCCAGCGCTCTGTAAAGCTTTAAGTGGCTTACGGAAAATTAATAATATACATCTTCGCATGTCAATAACCGAGTCGGTCGTAATCGATCCTCTTTCTAATCGTTTTATTTTTTAATCAAACTGTGATCTGTTATGTTATCGAATTTTCAGCCGTAAGGAATTCACGTTTTTAAATGAGTGTTTACCAGCCCCCTAAAATAAAAATAAGTAAAAGCCCTTAATTATTTACTACATCGAGACAAAGTTTTTGTATACTCGGTGAGGTGAACAGATTCTGTTGACAATTTTCTCACCTTTTCAAGTGATCTTGTTTTTATTTAAATAATCCGATATTCGTTTGGGTGTATCCCACTAAGCAGTTGTAGTATGTCGGTAAGTGACAGACATTAACTGTCTTTAATTTTCTGTAAGGGCATAAGGTTTTTTGATGCTTTCTCAAGTCCCACCATTAATCTCAATAATATGTATGAAGTTTTGCTTACAGAGTGCTTAACTTTATCCGTATATACTTATAGTTACTATACCCTATAGGTTGACGTATTTCTCATGTAAATCGTGTTGCCTGTGAAAAAGATGATTTTTACTATTTCACGACAACTTTGGTCTAGGAGTGTTTTTATTCCACGTGTCAGTAAGGATTACTTCTCTAGCATTCTCGAAAACTTGGTAACAGTGATACGTGCAGTGTTGCTTTGCTAAATGTCCCAACCTGGTTACATAGTCAAATTCCGTTGATCGGAATACAAAAAAGTTGAAATATTAACTTAAAGCATAATTCGAAGTGGAATTAGTTTGAATTTTCAGGATCCTTTTTCTACAAATAAAAAGTTTCTTCCAAGTGATTATAGCTGCCTTACAGTCGTCTGAGTTTCATTACGATAAGAAATTCACCGGATACATATAAATCTAGTTTTATAAAAAGTCCACTCTGTCATTCTTTGAAACATTCTTCAGTTGTTTTTAGGCAACTAGTAAGCTGTAAGTGTATGATCACAAATATAAGGATAGGGAATGAAGTAGTCTAACGCGTCGACAACTTCACTTATCTTGGAAGTCCTATCAGCCCTGATGGGTTGGTGTCTGACGAAATCTCTGCACGGATTCGAAAAGCTCGTTTGGCTTTTGCCAAATCACGTCACCTATGGTGAAGGTGAGATATACGTCTATCATAGATCTCTTAGAAATATTGCCCGCATCTGCTGGAATCATCAGGTAAGTAATAGTGAGGTCAGATAATGGGTAGTAGTAAATGATGGTAAATCATTTGGTGAGGTTGTGAATCTGTTATAACTTGTGGCCGAGTGAGCCTTGTTATTGAATAACGTAACGATACCGCCAATTAGAGAGCAATGACCTATCGATCGGACCAATGACGCGTAAACCCGTACGAGCAGTCTAGAGTGTTTATTGGTCCTGCTTCCTGTCTAGCCCAGCCAGTTAAATCCAGAACACCAGTCTCAGCCTCTGTAATATGAATCATTTTATTCCAAACATACTGAGTTTATATACCAATCAAACAGACCACAACGTACCAATAAAATATGAAACAACATTTGTACAAGAATTAGCCAGATGTGGCTGTGAATGAGGGAGGTAGTAATTAATAGACAGGGCATAATTCAAGAATGGTAAAACGTATAATAATAGTTCATAAATCAAAATGAAGCTTATGATAAGAAGAATATGAATATGCACAGTTTAGTTATTTAACAATTATACGATAAAAAATATACGTTTAGTATTGGTCCATAAATGGATACCAAATGTTACCATTCATTATGCTTATCGGGACATAACAGAATCTCCATCGGCTGAGATGGGCGGACCATGTGTTACGTATATTTGAACACTGATTACCATGACGCGCAATGCTGACTATTTTTGGAGACGGTTGGAAGGAAGTTAGAGACGACCAAACCAAAATGTGGCGTCAGTCCGTAAAGTCACTAACTTCTGGTCTGAGTCGTGTTGCTAGAAGCAGACTACTTGGTTGGAGTCCGCGCGACTATCGTAACCAATGGTTGGAGATTCTGGGTGACATGGCTCAGATTCGACCACAATGGCGTCGGTGTATACACTCTCTGTCTTCCCTTAAACCATGAAATTAAAATTATTTTTTAACTTTCCTTCTACGAAGTAATTCTTTCTCTGTGTATAATACTCTTATACACAATCTTTCTTTTGTATATTACTACCATTGAAGTAACTACTTCTATGAATTCGGTGATAATCTTGTTGTAATTTTTCATACCGAGGATGTCTGAAATAAGCTTCCTAGTTTATCTCTGTTACATTTGCAACAGTGATATCGCTACGTATAAGAGAGTTTGTATCGTCGTTACGATTTGTTTTTGCTTGGTGTAGACTGATATTAAATAAACACTAAATTAAGAATTATGAAGCAATGTAAAAAAACTGTCAAACCCGTTGTATGCCGGCTATTTTTTCAAATCGATAATACGCAAATATGGGACTCGTCAGCTGGATTTACCTGCATTCCAGGGTTGATGTTCACTTCGGGACTCAAACCCGGCATTGATCGCTTGAAACGCCATCGCGTTATCCACTTACCTACTGAGTCTTGATAGTCACCTGCTTGTGCAATGGGGTGAAGTTTAAATTTACTTGGTATTGTTTTACCAATGTCACAGATAAAGGAAGCTAAGAATTTTAATGCGTAACAATATACGAACACAATCTGAGATAAAATAGAGGCTTAATGTAATATTGAACTCACTTGGTGTTGTTTTACTTGTACCTTCCTGTTGTCATTTAGGGATGCAACTGATCAGTCTCTTGTTGGCATATGCACATCCTGCGCAAACTGCTTCGATAGAGCTCTACGTCACAAAATTTTTAAGCGAAGATAGATAGTGGCTAGCAGTGGAATCCAGGACGTGGGTTTCGTTCTATTTGGGATTCCACTGCTAGCCACTATCCATCTCCGCTTAAAAATCTTGTGACGTAGAGCTCTATCGAGGCAATCTGCGCAGGATGTGCATATGCCAACAAGAGACTGATCAGTTGCATCCCTAAATGACAACAGGAAGGTACAAGTAAAACAACACCAAGTGAGTTCAATATTACATTAAGCCTCTATTTTATCTCAGATTGTGTTCGTATATTGTTACGCATTAAAATTCTTAGCTTCCTTTATCTGTGACATTGGTGAGATGTCTCCTTGTTACCTAAAGGGTGAGTATACTGTACAACAACTCATCATATCTTACTTCATTGCAAATGCTTGACTTGTAAAAGCAATTTTATGAACTTTTGTAACTTGTAACGTAGGTAAGATGTCAAATAAGTGACAAGTATACTACTCAACAATTCACCACGTTCTGTTTTATGCGTCTTCTAAAGATTGAGGACAATCGTTACTATTAATCCATTATATATCCTTTCAAAACATTCCTCGTGTATGTTGGAACAATCAAGTTAACAATTCTGAAGTTAGCGCAGGGTCTTAAGTAAAGATGAAAAATATGTTCATGAGGCAGCGAATATTTATCGACTAAGATGATTAGAACATTTATACATCAACATAAAGACTGATTATCTAGACGCGTGATGACGGCTGATGTAGGGGGAGGTTGGAAGAAAACTAATGGCAGCAAATCTGTGATATGGCCTCAGTACATGAAGTCACTAACTATGGGACTGAACTATGTAGGTAAGTACAAGGCACTTGTTTAGGGTCCTGGTGATTAGCGTTACCAACGGTTTAAGGCTTTCGGTGACATTGTTCAAAATTGTACCCAGTGGCATAGGTGTATTCACTTACTGTATTCCCTCAGGTCCTAAGTTTATAAATCTTTTAATAAATTTTCATTTTATTCTAGTAATCATTATTTTATCGTTCTACATTGAGTATAACTCTCTAGTTGACTATAAAAGCTGCTAGTGTTATATTCCAGACATTTTATCTCAGGTATCTTTGAAGCATTATTAGTTTTCTAGGAATTTAACGAATGAATTATGTCAATCTTTAACCTAGAGTTCCTAGTCTTCTGACTTAGTTAACGGTTACAAATCAGCATCCAAATGTTTTACATAGAACATTTCAAAGTTAGTCCCAGTAGTACGTTTATATTCATACATTACCTTTCTTCACTATTCTACGTATGCCTCTTCCCTGTTAGTTTTTTCCTTCTATTTTGACTAATTTTGAGATTTTCTGTGACGTTAGTTCAACATTAAACAAACTCTTCTGTATGGTGTTTGTTTTGAAGAAGCTTTGGTTCTACTTATCTAGACGTTCATTTTCATGAATTTTTATATCTCGTATTCGTACAAGAGTTACGTTTCAATATTTTACCATTTACTTATTATTGCGTAAATCAGGTGCGCATGTTTATGCTGCGTCATATTTAAACTATTCTGTTACACACATACAATCATAATTTACACTTAAAAAGTAAACTTCATTATCCCTCCCGAATTAGTTTTATAAATCTTAACTTCAGTTCACTACACGATACACTCATATAACCATGATTCATGCACATTGTTAACACCTGCTTTTACATTTTCTGATTACTTATTTAAAAACATGCGCATATTAATGTGTACACAAGATGTTTTTGGGTATAAAACAAATAGACATATTCATAGAAGATTCACTGAATAGTTATTCCCTTTTATATTTTTTTTTACTTGTTATACATTAGTATTTTGCTATTTGATTTTATAAATGCTTTCTATAAATAGTGAATTTAGGTTCTGTCCGAAATAGAAAATACTGAAACCAAGTGAGCTATAGAAGCATATGTTATGCATAAATCCCGTTTTGGATGACTAAAGGCGACTATAAAGAAGCTGTAGGTATACTCTTTTTGCTGTTAACGCTAATCTCTGATTTGTACTTGCGAACTTGTTCATCTTCACATATCCGTTAATGATTCGTGTACTCCTCAAGTCAGAAATGACCACTCATATAGTCAGTCTATCATTAGTTCGGAGCCTTTTGTTATGGAATAACACATGAATCATATACTTTTCCTTAATACACCCTTATTTTTCAGTATCACATAACTATCATCTAAAATGCATCGCGCAAACTGACCTTTTATAATCTTCCTTATAGTATAGTAATGCAACTCAGAAATCACTAGAAAAGTTACTGGTTTTATTAAATTGTCAATTTTAGGGGTATATATATATATCATTGAACCATTCATAATAGTAAAGCAAATGGGGTATCTTTCACTTTAACTTTGTGATTGGTTTTGTATTTAGGCCGTTGATAAAAGTCTTTATTACTGTATCAAACAATCACACTTATAAAATGTTGCTTACGCCTGTTACCCCTCGTGAAGAAGCCTAGGTCTCCCATCAGCACTTTAATCTGGTTGGCGTTTTTTTTGCAAGATTTTTTCTACGGAGTGAAGTTGCCGACCCTTCTTTCTACCCGGGCTTGGGACCGGCAGTTACTCGAGAAAAGTTACAGACGGAGTTTATGAAATGTATATTATTTTATTCTTACCATTGATCATATATTAATTCTGCTTTTTTCTTACATACTCTTTTTTGGGGCAAGTCCTTTTTTCGTGTGCTGTAACCTTTTAGTTCTACACATACCTCTGAAAGCATTGTCACACTGACTAGAAAAAGATTTTCTTTATTGTTGTTCAGCAGATGAAGAATATTAAGTAGTAACAAGTAATGTCATCTGTCAATCACATTCTCGTTTTCGAACTAATCTTTAGAATCCCCGTTTTATTTTAGGATTAACTTTTCTACCTAAATTGAATGTGTTGATGATGAATCCATGGGCCAATGGTTGATAATTAAACGTCTAGCCTTGAGCGAATGAATAGTGCATGTTATAAAGGACCGAATTTGTCATCTGAAGCTAAAATTCATGAGACTAAACTTCCAAAGATTTTATTGTGTCAAGAAGATTTTTCTTTTGCCGTAAATACTCATTAAAGAACTCCGTTACCTGTCATTAATTATTTGCATTACTTCAAAATGTATATATGAGTATATCTTGTTCATGAAGAATGAGCTAATTAATATTAAATGTTCTCTTTAGTCTGTCTGCTTTTTTATATCGGTCATGTTGTTCACAAAAGTTGTGTTATGGTCTTCTATTTCAAAATCATTGCTAAGTAATATTGACATTCGTTTGACCAGTTTTAATTTTGATGGAAGTAAATAACAATATTGTGGTTTCAGTGATAACCTCAGTTCTTGGCCTCGGCTCTCAGTGTGTTCATGAGTGTTCACCGTCAAGGAAGCCGCAATAAGGGCAGAATCGCTGTTTAGCCTTCCTTGGTTTTCAATGATTCTTCAGCTGACATCAATCCTTAACTAAAACCACTTTTAACTACATACCTGTTTGAACAAATACTTAACGATATACTTATGGATACTACTTTCAGTTATATTGGTTCGAAGTTGGATGATATTTCTAAAGGATCGACAACATTTAATTCATATTAATTTATCGGTCACGAATATAGTAAATAAGATTATCTTGATATATATATTTATAGTGCAATAAATTTTATCTGCAGCTATATAGAAAAAGAATCGTTAAACTAAAAATACTTTTGATGTATTTCAACCTTTTAATGAAAACCATCAGCGCATTTTAGTGAGAAAGTTTTCCAACAACAATCAAAGCGTTTGATTCTCCATTTCATGACCAAGCTACCTGTTGTATTGAATTAAATTTATATCGTACATAAATTCCTTATTAAATGTGGTTTTAATGGGCATAAAACAATTTCTATTGTAAAGCTTTATTATTCTGTATTATTTGTAATGAACTTATATCCATCCCTCTTTCCTAATTTTAGATCATTCAAATGATAGTCAGAATAAATCTAGAGAATTATACCGTACTCAACTAACCGATTCACAATTAATGAGACGTAAAACCTACGGAAATGCACGTTCTAGCAGTCCTACAGTTAGTACAGATACCAACTCCGAAACTCATGTTCCAAATGAAAATTGTAATGATCAATCTGCCTTATCAAGGTCAAGGAAACGTGCAAGAAGTGAAGTCCCTAGGATGGGATCTACTGGTTCAAATAATTTATCATCGAATCCTTTACTCAGATCGGTTAATGATGACCAAGAAGACAGTGAAGACGGCGAGCGAGTTGCTTTGAATAAAGGTAATTCACGCTCAGATATTGAAGAAGATGGATTTCATACTGGAAATGATTTCGACGTAGGCATTCGTGGTAGACACCGCCGTCAAACGTATCAACTAAACAGCCGTCAGAGAGACTCATCTCTAGGTCGGTATACACGATCGACAGCGTATGGTTCTTCAGGAGGCACATTGCCTCGTCGGCAGCGTATGACAGGGAGTCTAACTCGGGCTACCACAATCAGTGGTGTTGATCCACATGGTACTTTAAGATCAGCATGTAGGCTTGCTCACTCTATTCGTGCTGGCATTATTCCACCCCCACCATCAGAGCCTCCTCCTGCTACACCACTCTCTGGTTCGTTGATATCTGAATTAGAATCTATTGGACCAAATGCAGTTACTGGTTTACTAAATCCATTCGCATTACAGCTGCATAATTCACAACAACAACAGCAACAACAGGCTTTAGCAGCAGCTGTTGCAGCAGCCGGTGGATTTCCACAAGTCTTATCAGGTGTCAATCAGAATAATCTGACCAATTCTTATATGCTTAGTCGTAAGTTTGAATCATTTCTCTATCATAAATTGTTTGTCGTATAATTGACTCATGAACTCGACTACTGAATTACTATAATATCCACAAAAACCCCTTTCTGTTAATATTGTATAATTGCTATTATCTTAACTCTATTGTTTTTAGTATTAAGACATTTGGTTTCATAGTGTTTACTGAGATTTTGAACTGCTTTAACATTTATTGTTTCGTCTTGACTACCTTTGTTGTTTACTGGTGTTTTTTTACATTCAAGGTCATAAAACTAAGCCAATCTTATCTTTGTATAATTATTTGTAAGGGAGAGAGTTCATCAAGTGACCTTAAGTGACTCATTAGCTAGTCATTTTTTGCTGTTCGTATGCCAGTAGTTGTCTATACGTAGAAAAAATAAGTGAGTCCGGGTGATAAATCCAAGGCAGAATCAGTGTTTGTTTGACGTGTTATTAACACTATAATATGTACGTTGTTTGTGATAAACACCTATATTTGTCATCGGATTATTCAACTACGGTAATTAATGTATGTTTTTTTTATGCTGACTTTTATTAAGAAAAATCCCGGAATCAAAAAATATTTTAAGTGGTCGAAGTTTGCTGAAAATCGAAAAAGCCTAAAGTATTTGTCTTAAGACTATCTTCTTAGCACATCGTGATTATTGGTTTAAAAGCATAGGGTATTGATTTCAGGTAGATTATAGTTGAGACATTTCAAATTCACCATCTGATATTTGTTTAGTTGGCTGATATCGGTAATTTAACTTGATGTAAACCGTATGTCCATAAGGTATTACTGGTAAAGATCGAATATCTAATTTGAAGGATATGGTATAAATATCTTCTATATTCGTCATTTTTCTTGTTGGTTTCAATCTGTTTAATATAAAGTATCTTCAAATAACTCAATCATTTACACGACATAAATGATAATTTCATTTTTATTTTGAATTTCCATTTTTCTCGCTTTTTTGAATGGGATGATTTTGTTTAAATGTCAAATTTGTCTGTTTGTCTGTTTTTGTGCGGATACGAAAACCTACTTTGCTGAAAACATTTGTAGTAGTATGCCTGTTTCACAATATTATATTGTTTGTTGGGCACTCAGTTTACCGTCAAAGCGTTATTACGTCGGTTGAATGCTTAATCTAAAGATACTCAGTCCAACATGTGTATATTTTGCATGTTCATATTTAATTAGTTTTTGGTGCACCGAAATCATACTATTTCATAAGTTTTATATTAAATTTTTCGCTTTTTTTGGGGATTTTTATGTTAAGTATCATAATTTTGAAGAAATGTTAAGCGGCTTTTGTGTAAGAACCTATACGCTTGTATTGCTTCATGAAAACTTGATTTCCTTTGAATTTACATCATCAGGTATGAGTACTACAGTATCGTTCTAATTTATTGTTTCCTAGCAATATTTAGTTTTTAGTGTGAGAATATGGTAAGATTAAATTATTAATATTAACATTGGACCGAATGATCATGTTTTCACTACAAATAATTGAAGAACATTACTTCCAGCTGACGAATGCAAACCATTAAAAATTAAATTAACAATAAACATGTATCTTTGACAGTCGGAAGTTCTATCGCATTGATTGTCTTACGACTACAGTCACAACATATCATGTGAAATGTTTAAGCTAACCTATGGAAACATTTCATGTAACAAGTTTCTTAATTGTTTAACTAAAGCACACATAATTGGTGCTATTCGCATCATTTTTTATCATTTCATTTACTCTGAACACTAATAAAATTTCAGATGTATGTATTATAATGGACTGCTTATTTGTTTTTTCTAACAATATCATCAGATACTTGTTCAATAATGTTTAAGAATAATACCTTGTTTATTCCTTTTTTGAATCTGCAGATAAGAATATCTTTGCGTATTATTATTTATGCTTCGCTTTATAATGTTTTAGTAATTACCTTTCTGGGACTAAACATGAACTCGATAATTAACTTGTAAATCCAAAATTCCTGTATACCTACCTACTGTTCTCCCAAATTTTTATCTCCTTATTCCTCCTTGTCTCTTTTTTCTCCTCTCAAATTTATTTCACTGTATTATACTCTTTAAGTAACATCTCCAAACACTAATCTTCCCGATTACTGCTTATACTCTTATTACCTCTACTACTACGGGATTTGAATCGACCACTGCATCTCTATGCTAATGTGGTGTGGCAACTCGAACTGATGTACGTACGTACGAAGTTCTACGTTGTTACTGACTGACTGACCTACTGTTTAGAAAGATAATGTCTCTCATTCTCATGTAATAAGTTTGCGTAATTTGAATTCTTAATTGTTCTCATTATTTATTTAGTCATCTGTTAAAACTGTTGAGTTCATAATCACTCATTTGTTTTAGCAAAATATTATTCTTAATACCAAGCAATGGACATTTTAATTATTAGTCTACAGTTTTCTTATTAAACCAATGAATTTACTCGAAAATAGAGGATTTCTTGCCTAATAATATCTAAACAGATGTTATTTTTGTTGTCTAGTTTCTCGCTTTATAATTTCAAAGGATGAGTCTATGGTGCGAAGAAAATAAACCCTTCTATCATTTGTAAATTGCCGATTTCCACAAAACCTTTTTCAAGAAGGATCGATGTATATCGAAAACTGTTACGATATCATCTAGAAGAACAACTTCATTAATTAGTACTAGACTAAAATGGTTTCTATAGATAATAATTATTATGATATTCTTAGACCCAATCCACTCGAACAATACTAAACTCTAAACCGAGTGAATATCGAAAATAGAACGATACTATTTGACCAAATTTCATGTATTATTTACGTTAGCTATGAGAAAATAATATTGATGATTTTAAAATTCAATCTATACAACTGATCGTTCGTACATTGTTCTCCTATCCTATCTTTGGTATCATCGTGATGTTATTCTGGTCGTAAAATGTCGGGTTTACAACGCATCTATGAAGGGGCAGTTTTCCTTTCTGTTTGCTAAACCTTAATTTTTCGAGTTCAGGATGTTAGATGACTCTGACGTTCAGTAACAACATCATGTTTGCAATATCGAGGAGTTCATTTACAATAATTCAATTACTGTCACTATTTTACGAATGTGATCCTAGCGGCTTTCTAATCGTCAATTATTTACTGACTCTGGGACTGGGTGGGAAGAGTGGAAAGGTGGTCAGTTTTTAAAATAGCACCGTGATGTGAAACGAAGCTGTTACAGAACTGGCATTTCAGTCCATTGAGACCCCTTGGTTGGGGTTGTAAATCTAATGCGGATCGTAAGTTTGAGACGTTGTCGGACGTTATAGTTTCCCTTCAAATTGTAGTCACCAGTTTTCATACAATATTTTTATTAATTGGCAGGCTTTTGATCAAGTTATTGAATTCAATTCTGCGTATAGTTCAACAGAATTAGATTAAAATTTTTCAGGGTGATCGTAACTCAGTGTTTCGTATGTTCATCTCTATCAAACGTATTGCAAACAGTATGGTATATTTCACCATTTTCAAACACTTACATCAATCTTTGATATTTCTTATGTTGTCTTCGATGAAAATTACTGGTAGATTATCCTTTTAATGTTTAATTAGTTTAACTAGTTAGTAGAACTTGTTTACGCAAGACTTCAGTGATTACTGTGTATTAATCCTGCTTTAGTAGTACCGCATGAATAACTTCGTAAATATAACATTTCACTGAATTCCGCCATTGTATTGTATAGGTTTCAAAATTTATCTAAATAATTTGTACATACATTGTAGCTATGATCTGCCACTCTCTTTTCTGTATTACACCTTATTTTGCTAGCTTTGTTCATTTTTTCATAATTTAGAAGAATATCAGTTTCTTCTTATTAAATTTGTATGTTATCTCGTATGGATAATGAATATAAATTTTTTTGTTAAAAAAAGTACGATTTTTAGATAGATATGTAAAATAGAGCAATTTATTATGTGAATTCTGTATTATACATTGTAATTTAACAATTGTACATTATGCCCTTTTTGTGTGCGCAAGAATGTGTATACTACGTCGATGATGAACACTCTTAATCTATAAAAAAAAGAACATTTACATGGTACGTGATTTTATGCCAACCCACTTACAGAAGATACGATTGTTTACATCATCCTAAAATATTTATATTTGTGTATGAATTCGTTGCATTCCACTTCTGTATGTATCTTTTTGTAGTAGACTTTGTGACCTTGTTATCTAGTGGCTCTTGTCATTGTCACTATTTACATGTGAAATTCGTCTCACATTTAAATAATCACCTTTTGTGTATTCATGTTCATGCGTAATGGCTCAATAAAATAAAGCAGTTTAATAGATAATGATTAACTATTTAGTTTGTGGCATTCACAATCAGAAGTAGTATATTTCTAGCTGAAATTTTAAACCTTGTTCAAACTATTGATTATAAACAATTATTATCAGGATGTGTTAAATAAAATATATCGGATAGTTTTACGAACTTATAGAACTTACCTGTCACATAATGCTAGATTGAAACTAAAAAGAAAAGAAAGGATCGCTATTTGAATTGATACGTTAGAGAATTTTTATCCTTGATTTCATAAAATCGGTCCACCTAAACAAATTTTCACGTTTAATCTGACTCGAGTCATTATTACTGTTTGTTTTTCTTTGAAAAGAAAATTAAATTATCACATTTGCGAATTATTATCATCTTTTTCATGAAGGAAAATAATACCATAATATTTGTCATAATTATCAAGTAATGAAGTTTTCGAAAGGTTAACATTTTTGAAGAGGAATGTATATTTGATCCTTCTTTTCCTGAATTTAGTATCTAGTGTGCTCCTACATAAAACATGGTATATTTGTTGTTATGGATTGAAGTCTGTGAGAAAATCAGTCAATGTTTGTGTTTTTTATTTAACTAACATCAGTCATTTTCGACAATTTAATATATTTCATTCCACCCATTTCAGTTTTCAGCAGGATTTTGTTGCACCTCTTTGTTT